AAAAAAAAAAAACAAACGAGAATACGCCAAGGATATAAGGCAAATCAAATCAAGACCGATGGTAAATCAACCCAAACTCCGAAGCTTCTCCTGCTCGTCTGGGGTCAAGGCCGCAAAGAGCTCCTGGAATCCCGCCTTGGTCGACGCTTGTCGGAAGAATTCCCCTAGAAAGCCCTGGGTTTCATCGTCCCGCTTGCGCACGCCAAACACCCCCTCGGTACCGCCTTGACCAAACGACATGAGCTCTTGCTTGGTGACGCCCAATCCGAGATCAAGAACGTTGCTGGGCATGTCCTCCCATTCGTCATCTTCGTCACTGTCTTCTTCTTCCAGGGCGGCGGCGGTGGCAGCATCGATTTCTTTGTTGCCTGATGCAGCAGCCAGCTCCTCCACCAGCACCTTGACGATCTTCAACGGTGCTGCCACCGTCGTATAAGTGTCTGGATTCTTACGTGCTTGCGACCGTGTCTTGATGCGACCAGTGTCCTGGATGATGAGGTCGCCCTTGACCTGCACCTGCGATAACCGTGAGTCTTCCAGGTTGTACAACTGTGCCAGGGCAATGATGTTCTGCTTGATCTCATCGTAGCCAGCAAAGTTGACCGAATTCTCCAGCCATTTACAGATGACCACGGGGAGTCCACTCTGTCCGCCAATGTCAACCTGCGCCAGGAAATCCACCACCTCGCGGGCACTGATGAGCGTAAGTCGAGCAAAGACAAGAATCAGGCTTTGAATGAACTGGGCTTGTTCGGCGGTCGCCAGTCGCTGTGCGACGGCCCGAAGAAGCTGTGGAAGGTACGGTCCCAGTCGCTCGGATCCCGCGCGCTCCACCAGCTCGGCCGCCAGTTGGCCGACTTCTGTGGCCGCGTTGTCATCCACCGAAGGGCCTAGCAACCGATCGATGATCACCAACGCCACCTCAACGGCTTCCTTTCCGGATTGCGGGTCACGCCAAACCACAAACTGGTTAAAGTCGTGTGCCATGATATGACGAACCGCCTCAGTAGCCGGCCGGATCAGTTCGCCGTCGGCGGAGTCTAGTAACAGCCGCGTGAGCTTGGGCATAACGGTCTCAACGAATCCCGTAGGTAGAGGCTCCAAGGCTCGCTCCGACAACGCACGCAAAAGATCGGTCGCAAAATTCGTCAGAGCATTTTCCTGGGTCAGATTACCCACATCAATGGCGCCCGTAATGGAAGGCAGCACCTTTTCGCAGAGGTGAACAAATATTTCGGGACCCTGCTCGGAAATATCGTCGACAATGTCCTCGAACGCTTCCGTGACAGTCATGGTCAGTTGGAAATTAGTGGCTCCATTGCTGGCCACGTTGAAAAGCACGTCAATGGCGCTCGACGACAGAACGACGCTCGTGTTGACCATGATGGTATCACGGAGCGTCTCGGCCAGCGTGACCTTGAGATCGTCACTGTCCGTAAGCTCACGCAAGTCATGCGCGGAGACAAACTCAGATACGGCAGTAATAATGGGAATTTGGAAAGGCACGCTCACATTGGACGGCAAGGCCGACACTAGATCCTGTAAGGTCCGTAGACAGGCAACCTTGACCACTTCTGAAGGATCATCCACGATGGCCTTCAAGGTAGCTTCGAGGTACGAGGCAGCAGAAGGGTGGAACCCTTCACCTGCAACGCGGGCCAGGATACCAGCTACGATGTAACCCCGGGCTCGAAGAAAATCCTGTTCTTGCTGAAGCGAGAATTGAACAAAGTTGTTAAAACCATTAGCCAGCTCGGGTGCGATTTGGTGATCGACTTCGCTGAAGTCCCGAAGTAGTTGATTGGCAATAAACAAAGCTGCCTCGCGAGATTTCCATCTGCTCCATGTTAGAACAATATAAATCAGACGAAGGAGCAGCGACATACGTGGAGGAGTTATCAGCAAAGAGGACATTAATGTAGGCAAGAAGACCTTCGACTGAAGTGTTCTTCAGCCACTCGCCCAATTTAATTACCAAGTCTCCGCTGCAGGTACGCGGCGTGTAGTTGGCAGTGACCGACGTCTCCTCGGAAAGGAAGAGGTTCACATCAATATCCCAAAGCCCCTCTTCCTCAGACGTGATCTGAGCATATGATCCAGCCAGCTTCAGAATCTCTGGCAGCCATGTGCTGGTAGTTGCCGCTTGGCCAGCGTTCTGCAATTGCTGCTGAAGTTCCGCCTTGACCGGAGGGGCTTTCAAGAGAGCCTGCAGCAAATCCAGTTCCTCCAGAACCAAGAAGTCCAAAGTGTAAGGCAATCCGTCCACGTCCTCCAAACGGCCTTGCCTTTCATCAAGAATGTAGAATTCGGAATAGGTATTTTGAATGTTGGAAAGTTCGGTCCAGATGGTGGTGAAGTAGATGGGGCTCTGTGTGGTTAGAAGGCCGGGGAAGACCATTCGGATTTTCATCAATGTCTATTGTATCCGTCAGTTGAACTTCTTCAGGGAAGCAAATGAAGGACATAAATACCTTGACCACCTGTAGCTTCAAGGCAATAGCACCCCGCCATTCTGAAGCAGCTACGGTTTCCTTGGGCTCTTCTTGCTCCGTAGGCGCTTGTGGCAAGGAAGTTTTGAGGGTCGAAGTGAAAAATGGAGACCACCCCCCCAGCACTTCATCCATAAACTCCTTCACAGCGGCCTTGTGTTGCTCCAAGACCATCTCCAGGGTATCAAAGCATGAGCGGAAGACGGAGACGGCCAGAGCCCGCAGAATGGGCTTTCGGGACTCACTGGTCGCGACATGGAACAAAGTCGAGACAAGGTCGCGGGCGACATTGAAGAACTGCTCCTCATTGAATCCAGTATCAACTAGATCGTGCAGGACTTTTAAGGCACCGTGCACTGCGCCGGCGGAGCTGGCGGGGTCATTGAGAATCTGGAGCAGGGACGGGAGAAGCTCCGGCCACTGATCGGGGAAATCGGCGCTAGCGATCTTACTGACCGCGTAGCTGGCGGATGACTTGACCTTGCGTTCGGGGATATCCGCGGTCGTGCAGAGCTCAAGCAAGATGCGGCGGATCTGGGTCTTATTGGCGTCATTGATCAGGACTTGGCCGCGGAACTCGTCGAGATGTGGGGACCAGGCGGAGACAATGAAAGTGCGCAGGACGGAGAGGGCGGACTGGCGCAGATGGATGGGGACGGAGTCATAGGAGGCAATAGCAGTAAGGGAGAGAGGAAAAGACTCGTTGGGATAGAGACGTAGCAAATGAAGTTCGGCGGCTCTTCTGGTATCGGCGACCGATGACTGAGTATCAGCCAGGAGGGGGAGGAGCTCTTGCTCCATGACGGACAGGATAATTAATTGACCAGTCAGCAAGTAAAGAACATAAAAAAGAAAAAGAAGAGAAAAGAAAGTGAGGCAATTGACAGGGAATGAAGCAAATCTATCAGAAACCCAGCCAACCTGTGTCTGTTTCTTTCCTCTTTCTGTATGGTGGAGGGAAGAAGTGATGGGTTTTGGCCCGCGAATTCTCGCGTTTCTTTTTTTTGCTGGAGGAGGGGCAGAAAATAACAGGGATGGCAGAAAGTAGGAGGCGGTCAGAAGGCGGTGTGTATGAATTGTACATTTACATACAAACATACATATACTATACACAATTACATCTTATAAATACATACAGACAGGGATCTGTTGTATTCAAGAGTATACACAGTGACCCCGGAGTATACGGGAACATAGTCAGCAATATAACATCATAGACATTGAATTATAGCGTGGTACAAGCAACCTATCAAGCTAATTATAAACAAGATGTACGTATGCTGTAGCTATTTTGATCTGCTCGGAAGTGAATCCTGGGTCAAAATGAGAGACTAAGCAGGTACTACAGAGACACTATGGACACTACTATTGTCATTCTGTACTCTCGGCAGTGGAGACGGATCTGAAATCATTAATTAGTTTTTTGAATTGTAAGTACGGAGTACACCTTGATTTTACAATCAAATCCCACAAGGTTTTCAAACGACAGTTCCGTCGGGAATAATGCATACAGTATGGAGTACGTTGACATCGAGGGGGGCAAATGACTTGTTGGAAATGAAGCTGTACAGTACTTTTGCCATGCTCTGGCATCATACTGAATACTGCAAATTGCACCGGAAGAAGAGTAGAATACAGCATCATCTCATCATGAAGTGTTGTTGTTGGTCCCTCATGGGTATATGGTGGGGTTGATGACCAAATTGTAAACCCTGAGCTGAAAGATGTTGGTTTTAACTCAAAAGGGAATAGTAGAGAGGGGTGAGGGATACATACAGTATAATACGGAGTAATTATGGTACAGGTGATTGATTCACTGGGTTTGCCGCCGCCACTGGAGCGGATCTCAAACAATCCATACACCGGTCAATGGGATTGAGATTGTATTTTTGTCCAAAATGACAGCATTGTTCTACGTGTTCATTACTCCCCCAGGATGGGGAAAAAGGGTTTGCATTTGAAATCGGACGTTATGCCCCTGTCTGTTCTACATAGTACAAAATATGGGCAGCGTCTGGTTTGGACTTGTTCTTTGAAGATAAATATAGTCTGCATAACCCATGATGTGCCACGTGATGACCCAATGTAATTTGTTCATACCAATTTGCATACGTATGGATTGTATTTGTACTTGTACGGTTGTACTGAGCTGCGGCTACGGCTGCCGACCACGCGGTATGTAATGCAAGCAGCCAGCTCTTCATGCTGCTGTTCTCCTGTTGAGAGCTACTCGAGGTGATTAAAATATAGCCTTAAACCATGGTAAGCTTTTTCCCATGGTTCTTCTCTTATTAACCTCCTGCTATACGCCGTAGACATGGATGTGTTAATGTGTTACTGATACACGAATACACGAACCATAATACACAGTACAACAATACCGTAAGTACCGATTGATCAGTGCCTCCTATCGGCCACCCACTTTTGCTTGTTGGTCCTCCCTTTTTTGATTTTCTTTTAACGGAGAATATTTAATATTAAATCTTTTTTTGATGAAGCTTCTTATAAAAAGAGACGATTTGTAGAGAAAAAAACAGGCAGGAGGGGATGGTTCCAACAAAGAATTAATAATCATTGCTAGACAAGATTGCAGTGGTCAAGCCAGGAACAAAAACTTCCGATCAAAATTTACCCAAAATTTCCCCAGCAAAAAGACCCAGAAAAGGAAAAAATAATCAATTCCTTTTTTTTTTTTTTTTTTCCATCGTCATTTTACAGTATTGGCGTTTTACATCGCTTTCTTCTTCTCGTCTTTTCCTTTTTCTTTTCTTCTTTTTTCCTCTCTTCTTTTCCTCTGCTGTCTTGTCTGTCTTCTGTCTGGCGGCTATCTCTTGTCTCTCTCTTATTTTTTTCTTCCTCTCACTCACTCACTCTACTTTCCCTCTCTTCTTCGTCCCTCCGAAAAAAAATAATTTTTTTTTTAAAGAAAATACCCTCTATCAAAAATCAATCCAATCCAATCCAATCAATCAATCAGTATTGACTGTTTCTCCGTTGACGGATCTCTCGCTTTATCCAACCTTCTCTCGCTATCCGCCTTCACTCTCTCGTTTTCTTACTAACCTCACTCTCTTCCCTTTCCTTCTTCTTTCCTCTCCTCACTTTATCGACCATTCGAACTGATTGACACAATCCCACCGCCATCCATGCTCTGAGGTTCTGCCTGTCGCGTTCCCCCCCCCCCCCCCCCCCCCCCCACTTCTTCCTCTCCACTTTTGCCTTATGAAAATCGGTAGTGTCTCAAAGACACTAAACTGTTAGCCGTTTCCCCCTCTCTCCTCTCCTCGTCCACCCTACGTAAGTTCTTTTTTTCCTTTTTCTTGTCTGGTCATCTGTATCTGTTTGTCTATCCGCGTCGCGCATCACGTGTTTCTCTCTTTCCTTTTTGGTTCCTCCCACTACGGAGTCTGCACACAAGTCTCCGGCCGAACCTCACCTCATCTGTATCTGAAAAAAGAAAAAAAAAAGATTAAAAAAACCAAGAATTTCTTTTCCTTCTGTCCTTCTCTTCTTCTTATTTTGAATGTGTTAATCTCTGGTTGTGTTGTTGAGCCCTGTTGCTTTTGTCTTTTTCCAACGCCCCTCTCTTCTCACGCTCTCCCCTTCTGCCCGTCTTTTCCACACAACCACAATCCACGCCCACTTTTACCCACCGGCACCACCTTCATCGTCTTTCTCTTTTCGCCTTCTCTTACTTTTCTCTGTCATTATTTTCATTTTTGCATCCATCTGCTTTCAGCGTCTTTTTTTTTTTTTTTTTTTTTTTTTTGCTTTTTTACAGTTTTCCTTGATTTCTTTTTTTTTTCTTATTGAAATTTTCCGTTTATCACCACCCCTCTTCCGCGACACATGTTCTCTTAAAAAGAGGCACCAGAAAAAGACCACAGAACAGCTAGTTGACCCATCGTTCTAGAAGAAGGCAGAGCGATGATTAGCCTCCGGGTGGAACAGCACTCAGATTTCTCGAGACTCCGTCACAACCGTTCTTCCCGTGGAAACGACGACACCAGAGCCTTCGATGGCAATGCCGATTGCCAGTGAGAGCACTACCATCAACTCCGTTACTACCACCATGACAACATTTTCTACTCCGGTCACCGCACCCAGATCGATGCCCAACAACCAATCTGCGTTGGCGGCATCTTTTACGAATTTCCTCACCGTTTCTATCCATCAGATCCTTTTCCTCCGATCGGTTTATCCGCGAGCTACGTTTTTACCTGTTCGGGCCTATAACTATCCGGTTCGGCAATCCCGCCATCCCAAAGTCTGTGATTATATCAATGAAGCTTCCATTGCGGTCGGCACCGAGATCTTAAAGGGCACCATCACCGCTGTCAGTATCATCATCTCCTCCCTCCGCACAAATCAGCCTCTGGAACGATATGCCTTTGATCTCTCGGGGTTCCCCCGTGTTCCCACCGGTGAGGTGAACACCACCTTTGAAGACAGAGAAGAGGACTCTTCCAAACCCAGCACTCCCGTTTCCGATCGGGGTGCTCCTTCGCCTCCCACCCCCGATCTCGAGGCCCAGTTCCGTGCCTGTCTCGCCCGGTTGGCTTCCGCCTGCGCGCGGTTGACCCCTTTGCCCCGAGATGATGAGTTCAGTTTTACCGTCTGCATCGAAGTCCGAGAAGATGCACTCCCTCCCGCGGGGACCACCAAAGAAGAACAGACATGGATTGTCGCTGAGCCGGGCAAGGTCCACCTCCGTTCCTGCACGGCCCCTTATTCCGTCTCCAAGCTAGGAAATGGCGAGCCACAACAGCCGCCTCCCCGAGTATCCAATGGTCGTGCCAAAACAGTGCCAGTACGACGTGTCGAAGCCGGTGAGCTTCGTTTAGAGTTATGGGTGGAAGAGGCACGACAGAAATTTAATGAACCGGTGGATTCAGAACATCCGCCATGAACGTCTTCCCAGTCAGTTTGTTACTGAGCTTTCTGATGGTTTCTTGTCGTTTCCTCTTCTACTCTTAACTCGTTATTCTTTTTTACCCCGCACATGTTATCTTTTTCCTTTTTTTCCCTCTCAATTATCTCTCTTCTCTCTCCGTTCCTCATTCAAATTTGTTTTTCTGTCCTTTTTTTTCTCTTTTCACTCATACTCGTTTTCATGTTTATCTCATTCTTGATTTAGCGTGACCAATGATCGAACATACATGATGGATGAGGGAAATTAAAGGTTATTGTCGTCCGAAACAGTGGCGCACTTATTATAAAATGGGGAGCGGACGATTTTTGGGACTCGCATGGCATTACATAGAGATCTGGTTCATATCTTTCCTTCTTTCATCTTCCTCTTTTATTACCCTATTGATCCTCACACTCCTTTACTGCCTCCCTCCTTCAACATCCTACCCCCTCCCCCCTCTCCCCTCTCTCATGGTTACTCTCTATTATCATCTCTCATATTCTCTTCCATTGTTGTCTTTTCTGTGATTGTCCGTTGTTTATTTCTTTTCTCCCTTTTCTTTTCTCCCTTTTCTTTTCTCCCTTTTCTTTTCTCCCATTCATACCATTTCCGATTTGTACTTCTCTTGTCTCGTTTGTTGATCACTCTCAAACTACATGATCCTAGCGAATTGAATATCTAGCAGCTACTACTAGCTACCCGAGGTCGCCAGCATCGCCAACACCCGCGCCGCGCTAGTGGAGAGAGAAGTCGTTTTTTTCGAGTCCTGTCCGTAATCGATAATATGAGCCACCCTCATCCTTCATTGGCATTTCTCGCTTCTTGATTTGTCCGGTTTTCGAGTTCTTTTGGTCCTGGAAAAAGAAAAGTGGTTTCGTGTTCTTCGTGCATTACAGTATGTGAGCCTGAGAACAATCCTTAGAATTAAGGAGTTGCTGACGATACTGGCAACACAGGGAGCTCATGGAGAGACCAGACATCTGTTATATGTGTGGTTACCGTGCAACTGGGGCAATTTGAGCCAAGGTGTTGACAACGCAAGGAAATGGATTAATATTGCATGAATCGGGTTGTACGAGGCTTTATTTATTACTTTTTTGTGCAGCAGGGAGACACCAGAACGAAAAAAAAAAGAAAACAAACAAAAAAAAGAGAAAAAAGATACACTGTCTGTTGGCCTGTACGTTTGGTGGTTGTGCGGTACGATGCAATGTCATGTCCTTGTTGCATCCGTTCCTTTCGCATTGGTCTGATATGTATTTTCGTTTTCTTATGATTAATGGCAACGAGTTATTGACCGAGTCACGTACATACTGCAATTAAATAGGCATGGAGTGTTGTTTTCAAAGGAATGGTCACGTGGACGCGGTTGAAAGGGCCTAGTTCACCTGCATTGCCTGCGTACGAAGATCAGGTCCGAGACCAGGACTTATACAGGCTATATACTTAAGAGGCATATATCTACAGTACTTATAATAGCAGTGTCATCATCACCTTCCCAATCCATTGTACCTGCCTATCTCGTCACGTCTTATCACCACCTGACCCGATTTCTTGTATTTACCCCGCCTTTTCTTCTTTTTTCTCGTAAACAGGAGAGCTCTTTCCAGTTCCTAAGCCCTAACACATTGAAAACCAGCCAATAAATAATCATCTTACAGGGGAAGACTCATTAGACGATAAACCAGATAGAGTTACGCCGTGCATCGTACAGTTACAGTACATAATCTATGCATAGCCTTGTGCTTCCTGCAGTTGATATCATCATCGCTTGTCATCGCTTTCCCTCGGAAGATGCCAATGGCAGGGCACGACAAGGCGAGACAAAGGAAGGCAAGCAAGGAAAGGGAAGGGCGAAAATGGGGTTCGGTTGGAGATACGGAGTACCGTACGGGGACTTATTTAAATATGTGGGAGTATATATCCGGGGGGATTTCCCAGGGTCCGGTTCGTTGTTTTCCTTTTTTTCTTAAGCACTTTTTTGTCAGCTGTCAAACTTTCGGTTTCTACAGCCACCACTCCAGACTTGACTACTTATTTTGTTACTTTATCTGAAGAGGTATACCACTGCTTGGTATATATAATATTATTTCTTATTCCGCCCAGCCTACTGTTTTCTTTACTATCTTTTGCACCGTCGATCAACATGGTCTTCGCCGCTGACGTTTCCTACCCCCCCAACCCCATCCTCTCAAACCCCATAGGAAACGGTACTAGCGTAGGCGCGACCGCCGACGCCGACGCCGACGCAAACGCAATCACAGCCCAAACAACCCTCCCCCCAGGCGACTCCTCCTCCCTGATCCTAGTCCCCGCAACCCCCACCGAGCGCCTCACCGTCCTGAAACTCAACAGCATAGTCTGGAAAGGCCCTCTCAAAGTATCCGCTTACATCGCCCGCGAAGACCACCTCAAGCAGCAGCAACTCACGGGGAATCGTTTGACATGCTGGATTCTGGTTGATCGTGCACAGGAGCCGAACAACCGCACGATTTTTGCTTCGTGTGAGTCGTTTAAGAAAGGCGCTGTTGTGGCGTATGGCGGAAAGGTCGAGGAGACGGCGACGCATGGGGTGGGCAGTGTTTATTGTCGGCCGGAGTTTCGGGGGATGGGGTATGCGAAGAGGATGATGGAGGAGTTGGTCGTTGAGTTGGAGACGTGGCAAATGGATAAGGAAAGGGATGGGATGGAGAAGACGTTGTTTACAGTGTTGTGGTCGGATATTGGGAAGGGGTTTTATAGGCAGTTTGGGTGGGAGCCGTTTGACTCAGCGCATGTTGAGTTGGTGCCGATTGATGAGAGGGAGTTTATGCGCGAGTTGCCTGGGGTCGATTTGCCGGGGGCTAGAGATTTGACGGCGAAGGAAGTCCATAACGCTATGTGCAGCGAAGAGGTGGTGAAGAAAGAGTGGGAGTTCCTGCGTGCTGCGTCTCTCAAATCTCCTGGCGCAAAGGTCGCTGTCAACCCTGACTTTGAGCATTTCACATGGCACTGGGCTCGTGAAGAGTTTTATGCCGAACGACTTCGTCCAGAGAAAGGTGCTCCGGTGATCAAGGGCGTTGGCCATGATGGCGCTGGTGTGTATTGCGCTTGGAACCGGAACTTCGGCGAAACACCCGAGGAAAACACCCTGTTCATTCTGCGATGGGTTTACGATGAACCAACGACCCCAGCGCAGACGGAGGCCACCATCGAAGCCATGGCGGCAATCCTACGACGTGCTCAGCGCGAGGCGCATGAATGGGGCATGGCGAGGATTGAGTTCTGGAACCCGGCTCCGTTGATGCAGAAGGCTGTTTCCTTGCTGGATTCGACCGCCGAGGTCATCCATCGTGAGAAGAGCAGTATCGCTAGTTTGAGATGGATTGGTGGTGAACAGGGATTGGGTGATGATGTTGAGTGGTTCTGGAATGAGAAGTATGCTTGGTGTTGAGCTGTTTTTTTATGCATAGCCGTTATTATTAGATTATCGAGAGAAACTCGAATTGCATGATGTTATGCGTTCTTTTGCTTAACGCCGGCGCTGGTTCTTGAACAATTCATGCCAGTTCCTGGACTTCTTGGCCGTAGTAGCAGCACTAGCATCTGTGGATAAGTTCTTCTTCAACTTTTGTCGATCGCCTTCATGCACGAAACAGATCGACGTCGGATCAGGGAGCTTGTACGATCCCTCCTATGCCAATTAGCAACAACAAAGAAAGGCAGGTGAATAGAACGCACAGGTAACTTGGAAAACGCAACTTCGCTCCTCCACGACTCCGGAAGATGATCTTTCCAGGCATTGAGAAACTCGCTGCGTCCGAGAGCAGACATCGCAGTGGGCGCTTTTGCTTCTAGGTATGTCTCGCCGATCCACTGTATACAACGTGGTTTTTCAATGTTCGCCCCTATTCTTGTCAGCCACTGTAGCTTCTCCCAGAAATGAAAGAGCTCACATTGCATAGCCGCCCCGGAAGCAGTAGAATCAGCCTCACAAACCCTCCTCAAAACCGCCTCGAACAGGCCTCGCGGAAACGGTTCCTCGCCATTATCATCTAGGACTGATTTCCACAGGTCTTTGACCAGGAATTGTTGCTCCAGGTTGATCCCCTGTAGCACCGCGCCCTCCACGACTCTCTTCCAGACATCGACTTTGACTGTCGCAGACGGCCGCCAGCAATTGGCACCGGGATTATTTGTGCTGGAATTTGAATGGAAGACAAATGCACAAAGTTCCACCCAGCCCTGTTCACATTGTGCCTTGGAGACCGGGATATCAGCGAAAAGCGCATTCATCGCATTTCTCGCATTTCTCGCGTACTCGCCCTCAGCATCATCAGCCATATCCACATCCACATCCTCCCTATCTTCACTTCCCAGATAAAAACCCAGTGTCTTCACCAAAAATGGAACTGCGGAAAACCCCTCTTTCGGCATAAACAGTTCCAGTGTCGAGCCGCAATTCGCAATGGATGTCATTGTCTCCGTGTTCATGTCCATGTCCATGTCCATGTCATCGTCGTCATTGTTTTTGACCTCGTTCTCCACGATAGCGGTATTGGTACTTGGTCGGAGGATATGTAGCGAATTCGAAGACTGGACTTGTCGGACTTGGTAGGTTTTATCGGGGGTGCAGAGGTGGACGTAGTCGGGGGCTTCGTCGAATTCGGATTGGGATTGCGCCTGTGAGGGAGGAGGGGATTTTAGTTCGAGTCTTTTGTTTTGATCGAATGGTTAGTTTGGTTTGGTATAGTCATGTAGGATGTGGGGGACATACATGGGCGCTTCATTCGAGATCAACTCGACTAATTCCGAGGGGAGTTCAAGGAGCTTAAAGCCTTGTTGGGGGGTGGCGTGTGTGAAGAGGATGCCCTGGGCTGCTTGGGTGGACATTTTGGGTATTAGTATCTGTATGTGCGAATTGTCAAGAATGTCCGTTTGGACGTGAAAAGGATTGAATTGACGCGGTGACGCGCCGGTGGATCAAGGTGCACGGACCACTGCTTATATACAGACAGACTTGGGTGTATGGATAACTTCAGATTTCTATTCCCTTTAAACAATAGCTCTAGTTATAGAAGAATAAGGAAGAATACATATAGTGAAATAATGCCTTGGCCCTTGGCATAGTAACACCAGACGAAGCACAATAACAATGATCCATCCCTATAAAAACGTAACTCATTACCATAGAAATTAATAGGACACGCGACAATGAAACAAGCCCTGTCAAGTTCAAGAATAGCCATCAGCCTGCTGAGGTGTATTTGCTCCAGGTTGCTCGCTCATTGCTTCTCAGCACCAATGCTCTCCTTCACCGGTGTAGCAGCAGGACCCTCCTCAGAACCCTTCTGAACTTCAACGTTATTAGAATTCAAGTCCTGCTTTTTCTCCTTCATGACCGCATCTTGGACAGCCGCGCCGTCAACTTCCCATTGCGACTTGGAATCCTGGAATATCGCGTTCACTCGCTCGCTTTGTTTAGCCTCCTCTTCCTTTTCTTTCTCGAGCTGTTCTTGCTTGAGGGTCATTTCTTCCATGTGTCTGAGGTCGTCGACGCTTGGTTCGTAAAGGTGCCAGATGGTGTAGTGCGGGAGTCCGACGACTGAGAAGCCCATGGTGCGGGCCATCTGAATGGGTTAACATCATGATGAGCTGATGAATTGGAACGAGCCTACCTTCCCAAACGCCTCTGTTTCAGCATGTTTCTCAAAACTGAAAGCTGGGAAATGGACACCCGCGCGGAATACCCTTGCCTTTGCCAGAATACTGACACCGCCAATGCCATCGAGATCCATCTCCATTTCAGGGTCGCCAAAAGGGTCGCGCAGATAGGCGAGGTGAGGCCGCCATGTGGCATACTCGGCATATCCCTCCACAATGACTGCATCCTCATCTAACGACTCAGCCAGAGCCAGCGCCGTCTCCGACTCTTGCCAGGAGTTCAAATCATACGGCTGTTCTCCACCCAGCCAGTCAGGCAGTGGTCGCCAAACATCTGACACTCTGGTTAGCTCACATTCAAGAATGCAACAGACCACTAAGCTTACTAGGGACGATAACATCCTTATCATGTCTCATAAGATCCTCAATAATCGTAGCCGGCGCAGTCTCCACATCCGCATCCCTCCAGTAAACCCAACTATGCGTCGGCCGCAAAGTAGCCGTCAACAGCCAATTCCTCGCCTGCCCCATTCTCTTCCTCCTCCCAGCCTGCGCAGCAAATCCATGCCGGCTCTCAAAGTCCTGTGTCACCAGCTGTCCGAAATCCTTCTGAATTACCGAGATTTCACCAAACGTCATCCCCGGATCTGGATCCGTCTGTATTTCCTCCAACATCTCCGACAACATATCAAGTGTCCCGTCTTTCGAATCGGAAACCAGGAACGCAAGATCGATTAGGTTATGCGGGTAGGTAAAATTTCGCAGATGCGAGAAGAACATGGGCAAGTGGGCAGTGGCGTCTCTAAGTGGCGTGCACATCAGCACCCGCTCCCCATGCTTCCAACCAGTCCCGGACCCCTGCACCGCAGAAAGATCATAATGTCGAACGGTCTGGAGCTGAAAGTCTTCGCCGGAGGAAAGGAGGCCTAGGGTTAACGTGGGGAGGATCACGGCTCGCCATGACGGGAAGATGAGGATGGATATGAACAGAGAGATGCCGCCGAGGAGAATAAGTCGGTTGATCAGCTGTCTTCGTCGTCGCAGGGCTGTTTGTGGACGTGGTTGGAATCTATTAAGCAGCAAGAACCAGTCAGTCGGGTTATTGCCAAGGATTGGTAGAACGTGATCTGCAACGCTTACCGGTAACTGCTTTGGCCGCGAGGATAGGCTGGATAGCCGCTCATTAAGGCCTTGTGCCTGTCCATATCGCTGGCGGTAGCATGCGTCGGTAGGAGGAAAGCGGAAGGGGAGGAATAGGAGTAATGAAGAGCCACCAGAGGTCAGGATCTCCAGATCCGAACCAGGGATCCTGGAGGGTGGTCTCGTCCGATGTGGATCAAGCGAACAACTGAAGAATATTAAGAGTATCGTAATTCAGACGGGATGTATAAAGGAATTAGGAATAAAGAAGCTCTTATATATAGGGCATTAATGGTAGGTAGAGCTGGTCGCAGTCGGTGTTGAAGTCCGAAGAAGTCGCAGGTGGTGTTTTCGCCGCTTTTGGCGGAGGCAGAACAGCTCCGGTCCAAGTATCACTCCGAGTTGCACTGGAGGCACTCTGGAGTTTCAGCATAGAAACAGGAAGGAATATGTCATTTTAGTTTTTATGAAATATAAACGAACAGATATATTAAGAATATGAAATCAAGTTACTTGCTTGTGTCCTAAGCTGCTTTTTACACTAAAAGTGAAATGCGATCCATTTCTCGTATAACATTTAACACGTAAAATAAGCAATAACCAGCTCTACCGAACAGCAGCATTCTTCAAGGTCTTAGCCTTGCAAAGACCACCGGACGCAGTGAGCAGCCTGCCCAGAGCCGGCTTGCCTTCCTGTCCCTGCACAACCGGCACAGCGCTGCTGTCAAACGCAACCTCCAAGGTATCCGTGGTCGTGAATCCAGGCTGGAAAGTCTCCCACACCTTCTTCTTGGGGTTCAGCACCTTCTCAGGCTCGCCCTCGCTCCAGCCGTCGAAGGTGACACGCTCGCCAGCTGGGGCGTTCTGAGGCGGGCTAACGAGCTCGACGGGGCCGGCGTGCGAGTCCTCACCCTCAGCGACGCGGGGAGACGCGGCGAGGACCATGGCGCAGGACTTGATACCACGCATGGTAACGGGCTTGAGGTTGCAGACGGCGACGATCTTGCGGTTTTGCATCTCCTCTAGGGGAACCAGGCCGTTTAGGCCGGAGCACACAGTCCGCACGGTCTTTCCTGTGGTTTCATCCAACGAGGTGTTCTCGGTACCGGGGGCGTCACCGCAGTCGATGGTCGAGACGAAGAGCGAATCGGCGTTGGGGTGGTTAACAGCGCGCAGGATGTGACCGATGCGCAGGTCAATAATGGAAGGCGATGGCGGGGCAGCCGGTGCGGGAGCAGCCTTGGCCGGCTTGGGCTTCTTCTCTTTCTTGTCTTTCTTTTCCTTCTTGCCTCCAGCGGCCTCTTCGCCCTTAGCTTGCTCAGGCTTGCCCTGTCCGACAACAACGGTCTTCGCCTCGCCAGCAGCAGTAGGGTTCTGAGCAGCAGCCTTCTCCTTCTTCTTCCGCTCTTTCTCCTCCTTAGGGTCGACAGGTTTGGGGAAGAAGCGCACATCATCCAAGTCAATACCAACCTTCTCCTCATCGGGGATCTGCAATCCAAAAAGGCGGCTGTTTTGCACGAAATCCACATGACGCACAATGTGGTGGTATCCCTTCTCACCCGTGCGCTCCTCGGGGGTCCATTTCTCCGCCACGGGGCCCAAAAGGGCGTACGCAGAAATATCAGCAACAGAGGGCTTGGTACCGAGCAGGGTCGTCCGCGAGGCCAGGTGCCCGTTCAGCTGCGAGAGAATCTGCGAAACGGCGTCCTTGTCATCGCGGGTGAGGGCGCCCTGAAGACCCGAGATCGTCGTCAGCCATTGCTTGATGTCGGCATGCTCGGAGGTGGAAAATTCGATTTGCGGGAAGATCTTGGGGCTCGCGTGAAGAAGGTCGGGCTCCGTGGCATCAGGCGAAATGGCGGCGGGGTAGGACCGGTAGAGGAGGGAGAGGAGGGAGGTCTCGGGGGCTGAGTTGATGGCCATGTTTGCGAATGAGCAGGTTGGAAGGTTACTGCGAAACGGCGGCGATGTGTTGAACAGGAAAGACAAGGGACGAGGGGCAGTTGCGGTGCGGGATCGAGCGAATCGCGGGGTTGTTGTTCGGACGGCTGCCCGGCGTCCAAGAATCACGGCTGGCTTAGAGAGCGTCTTGGCTATGAAGAGATCCCCTAACGACAATGGGATCTCAAGAGATAAGATATAAAAACTGTGGAATAGATATGGGCTTCTCCAACACTGGTACAAACAGACAATTCCCTTGGGGCGCTTTTTTTAATGCGGGCGGTCAAGGATTTTTTTTTTCTCTTTCTAGGGTTGCGGGGATGAGTCATCCAGTAGTAGTTACATTCAGAGACAGTGCTACAGGATATTCATCATACGTGTATTTGTGCTATTGTTATTATCCTTCGCCTGCAATAAATATATATAGAATAACATGCCAGGAGTATCCAACAATCCCTCGAAATCTGGTTACTCCTCCCATACAGGAGACGCGAATGCAACGGATGGCCCTCTCTTGTCAAAGACAACAAACATAGACTTCATAAACACATCTCCAAGGATCTGCAATGAAGTATCCTGGTTAGACTGGATACCGCCATAGCACACTGGAATGAGATAAGACATTAGTCAATAATAAATTATATCAAAAGGAACTGTAGTACTTACGGTCTTCACCCGTCGTGCTATTCTGGCCCACCCCAGCAAAGTTGACCAACGATCCGGGGACCGTCGCCATATAGCTATTCCCAACCGCAACCGAGAAGTTCGGAAGTTCTGAGCTGCAAGGGTAGATCCATCCTCCAGCACTGTTGGCAAACACTGCGCGATCAACCTGAGCGTAGTAAGCGGCAGCCACCTCGGGACTCATCAGCATCAGCGATGTGCCAGAGTCAACAATTGATGTAGGCGCAGTAGAGACTTTTTCCAGAGGCCCGTTTCCAACTGAGAAGAATTTTGAGTCGAATTGCCAAAAACCGGCGGAGGGATCAACGGTCACGTTGATTAGCTGGCCCGAGTACTTGTTGGGGTCGATGGTTCCAAACTCGTATTCACCCTGGCCGTCACTTTTAAGGAGGGCGGTAAAAAGAGGCTCATCCAAGCTGTCTGCGACGTTGTCGAAGAAGGTTTTCTGGGGCTCGGGCTGGACCATATTGAGGACTGAGAAACCCAGTCCCACCAGGCCGTTCGAGTAAGTGTCCCCTACGAAGTAGCTGGAGACTTCGGTTGGTAAGCCTACTGCTTGTCCCGTGGCCGTTGCGCCGCCGATATCAACTGTATCTTGTCCCACACCGCCGTATGCATATGAAGAGTCGCCGTAGGTGATGTTGAAGGTGTAATCCTTCATTTCTTTGTAAGTAGACGATTTAGAAGGGTCATAAATGGTGTGTCCTTTCGTCTGATCGGATGGAAGCTCTGTGTTCATCACCCAGCTGTGTCAAATTCGTTAGCCATCCATCCTATGCGCAGTCAAAAGAGCTCAGTTAAAACCTACAAGTCTGCTGAGCCTGTATCAAAGTTCATGACAATCGTCTGACCACCTATTGTAACCGGCGAGACAAACTGAGCATCTCCCTGAACAGATACAGCATTGACCTCTCCGGTTTGGTCATCGTCTGTGTTGGTTTGGCTGTTGCCGGAGCTCAAGGGCTTGAAGTCCAACAGATCATCAATGCCCAGGTCCACCGCTGCAATCCCATACTTCCTGTAAGATCTCTGCAGAGCAGTAGCACCGTCCAAAACGGTAGCTCCTTGGCGCACTCGCCCGATTTTGAAGGACCTGCCTTTAAGTTGCGAGCGAGTTGTAGTTGATGTGGGTGCAGAGAGTGCCTCGCAGCTAAAAAGCAGGGTAAGCACAAAGGATTGTAGGAGCTGCATTGTATCAATCCCGATATTTCTCCAGGCTTATAAACAAAAAGAAAAGGTAATAAAAGGGCGAAAAAAAAAAAAAAAAAAAAAAAAAAAAAAAAAAAAAAAAAAAAACCAGCCTTTCTTTCCAGAAGAAAGGGAACTATATCAGAAATGAATGCCAACGAAGTCCAGTCCAGACTAGAACACTCGTGTATATCAAAAGATGTGAAGAGAACGTAAAGAGGTGACCAAGCACCTTATCAAGAAATAAAATAGAAAAAGAAGAAAGAGAAGAGTGACTCAAAGCATTGTATGAATAAAATGAACGGAAGAAAAGATAAAAAGACTGGAAAGATTTCAGTCACAATGGAGACAAACCCCTATTGAGCACAACCCAAGCAATACACCTGGTTAATATACGATATAATATAGTAAGCCAAAGCCACTTAATAGAATGGCGATATCTTGTTGCTCCTTCAATATGAATTGCTTTGCACATTGTGTAGCAAAACGGCCCACCTTAGCCTCCTCAGATCCGCAAAGTTAGGGAAGACAGATCCAGCAATTCCCGACTGTCTGTTGGAGGAAAGAAACGGTAGTCATCTTTCTGATACAGAGGATTGTCGCCAACGCCTGTTGCAGAGATTGAAACTACAGCAATGACAGCCGCTGGGTGTCGCAGACGGCGTTAACGAAGGGAAATCAGAAGCCATGGCACCAATCAGGGTGGTTTGGGGCTATATTGGTGAAACAGTCCCAGTCTAGGCGCTGCAACAGCTCGATTTGACATGTTTAAGGAGGAGGAGAGCCGATGATGGCGGGACAATTAGATGATAGGGGCATTGTTTCAGATTCAGAACAAGCGGTAAATCATGATTCGTGCACAAATAATGCACAAGTCATAAATCTAGCATACTGTAAAAATACTCTATGTTAGAATGACAGTCTATCTCAAAGTCGACATCGAATAAATGTCGCTAAAATGGCACTGCTGGACGCCGCAATGCTTCCATAGGGGTAAATTGCGGGAGGTGATCGACAGGTCCATATAGCGGCCGTTGGACAGTGCAGTGGACGGATTCTTGATTTCATTTGCACTTGGATAATTCCAGTTGCACGTCCATTCATTCGTAGCAGTAATATCGCTGGTATCAAAAATATGTTCTAAGTCCAAAAACGCCAGAATCGGCAAAGAAAAAACAACGCCTTGAGATGCATCCAAGAAAACCGACAAAATGAAACGATAACGGCTCCATCACTCAACCATATCTTCAGGCAGAACCTGATCTGGGTCTTCTCCGATCAGCTGACCGACCGAGCGCACGACCTGTTTGATCGCCTGCGACGCCGGACTATCCGGGAAATTGTCCACAAAGCTCTCGCCATAATCACAGGCCATGCCAACCCGGGGGTCCAGAGGAACCGCCCCCAAAAAGGGAATGCCCATCTTCTTTGCGAGTCGTCGACCGCCTCCGGTGGTGGCTCGGTAAATCTGAGACTCGTGGGTGCACTTTGGACAAACAAATCCCGACATATTCTCTACCAAGCCCAGAACACGGATGCCGGCTTTGCGACAGAAGTCAATTTCTTTGCGGACATCCAGCAATGATACCTCCTGGGGAGTGGTCACCACCACGGCCCCGTCAACACCAGACTCCTTAAGGAGCGAATTCACCGACAGATGCTCGTCTGAAGTACCTGGAGGTGTATCCACAATCAGATAATCCAACTCGCCCCAGTCCACATCCTTCAGGAACTGTTTGATAAGCCCGTTCTTCTTGGGACCTCTCCAAATGACCGCGTCATCCCGGTTAGGCAACATGAACTGCACACTCATGGCTCCCAGATTATCCGTCACCCAAACTGGACTCCAACCCGCGTTACTGACATGAATCGTTTCCGCCTCAACTCCCATCATCTTGGGAACTGACGGTCCACAAATGTCGGTATCCATGATTCCTACTGTCGAGTCGGGATTTGCCGCGAAAGCATGGGCCAAGAGAGAAGAAAAGGTCGACTTTCCGACACCGCCTTTACCAGAAAGGACTAGGATCTTGTGTCGGATTTGCGAAAGACGTTCGGCGATTATCGGGATGTCTGGATCGGGGCCTTTGGGCGCGGAAGCACAGATGGATTGGTTAGGGCAGCCGGCGCAGGCATCCCCTTGGCCTGCCTTTTCGGACTCGGGGCCTGGACAATGTTCTGCTCTGTGTTAGCAGTTTTATTATAGACGCTGTCGCAAACGACATACCTGGTTCGGGAGCCACCAGATTCGGCGCCATTTTTGACGGCGCTGCGAAGTATTCAGCCGTTGGCTCCTCGAATGAGGGTGCCATTTTGTTGACTCTTCCGCTGTAAATAAAATAATACACGGATTTGATAACAGTAACAAAGAAAGACCTCAATAGCTACTGTCGACGGATTTGATAGACGATGGCGAAGAGTGCTTGATAAGCATCACGCCGCATTTCTCGGGATGACAAAAAGTCCGGTGGCGATTGGAGGGGAGGAGAGCGGTGTCGGAGGCCGCGATAAGATACTGTTTTCTGCACTCTAGGTACAAATGCTACTCCGTATAGTCTACGTTTCTCTGCTATGCCGGCCCATTTTGATAATGCAGCTGCTATGACCACCTTTAATGGCGCCTTAATGCACATGTATTATCTTTTGCAGGAAATCCTGTGCGACGTACCAGGGTGTATTCCATGGACTATCTATTATCCGTGGTGCAATGGCGCTAGACTAGGGTAGTTGAGCATGTGCATTGTTCTCTTGTTGAAATGAGTTGAATAACGTTATTCCGACATTGATATTCCCATTAATATTACCAATATTAGTTATGATTTTTGTCCACATAAGCTCCGGGTTCTGATACCAGAATCCCGATGAAGATCCCTTTGATATCATTACTGGGGCTGTGGCCCCAACGCAACCAGTTTCCCTCGTTTTGACCATGTACTATATTCATGTGCTTCTTCGGAATCAAGTTCCTGGTATGTGCCTGCATCGAGGGGTATTGTCGAGGTAGGGCCTGGATCAGTTGGTGCTAGGCCTTCGTTGTTTACTTTTGCACAGAGAAGTATAATGCTATTCTTCTACTAGTATTGCACCTCTACACAATACGGCGTGGACAGTACGGAGTACTCGAGAATTAAGTACTGATGTCACCGGCTTTTCTTCCAGCCAATGCCGGAGAATGTCACCACAACACTTCTCGGAATGGACGTCAGGCCCCCCTCTCATGCATCTTCAATTGAAATTAATGAAAGATTGACTGAGCGCATACTTTGTGCATAAAAATACGTACACGCTAAATAGCTACCCCTCAATCATCTCATCTATTCAGGACATGTTCGAGCATCGCCTATGAATCCAGTCCAGTCCAGCCCAGTCCTTCTACTACTTTACGGATACGCATTGAGCGACTCCTCCGACGTGCAGTGTTAGCCCGCTCTCGGTTAGTACTAGGCCTATTGGCCAATAATAGTCGCGCAGGTTCAGAGAGATATCCGCAGTTACCGCTACGTATGAGTATGGTAATGTATTTTAGGAATGGTCGAGGCATTCAGATTCGACCCGGATGAGGGAAACCGTTCATAGTCAGTTAATTTCGTGGTAAATGAAATTGTAATAACTGCACGATATTGGAGTAGCATATTATCATAAAAGTGGTGTAACTGCTGGAATAACAGTGACGCTGTAGTTGTAACGACGTGACAATAGATGTTCTGTCTCCTTCGGCCTGATTCGCTGGTCAATCGTCGACTGTCCGCGTCATTGGTCAATGCTAACTCCCGCCTCTAATTCCGTTCCCCCAGCGTGCACGGGACTCCACCGGAGAAACGAGCCCCAGAGAGACTGAGAGAGAGGGAGGAGAGTCAAGAGTCGTTATTAGAGGCAGAGACTCAGAGTGTGTGAAATGAAGCGAAGAAAAGCCTCAACATAAATACCCTCTCATTTCTTGCTGGAATCTCATCTCTTTTCTTTTTCTTTCTTTTCTCTACGTCAACGTCTTGTCAAGAACTCAAGTTATTTTTGTTGAGGGAAAGGTATCCAATGATCTCAGAGCTCAGGCCTCTCATTGGACCCTGAAAGCCAACTGTCACATGCTTCTGTTGCTCTCTTCCTCTTCCCTTTTCCCTTCTTTTTTTTTTCCCTCTTTTTCTTCTTCCTTTCTCTTCACTCACACTTCCATCTTTTCTTTTTAAAAGCCTCTTGCTTCCACAGCTTTAACCGCTATGGATCGTGGCCTTTCAACAGGCACCCATCAAGAACATGATGGGCTCCGCGAGAGAAACGTCATCTCTCAACCTAATCCTGCTACCACCACTGAGGCCTTAACGGCCACAGGGGAATTAGAACCCAAGGAAAAGACTGGGAAGGCCTTTGGGAGAACTCCGGGTGGCACTGGTATGTTCAATGTTTTATTCTACATTCTAGAATGGTTGCAACCATGCCTTGCGTGGCTACACCAGTAACACGCTGGCTAATGGGAATCACGTGTCGCAGTGTTTACGGTTCCAGAGACTCATGACATGGTTTCTCAGCTTCTGTCACCCTCGGAGCCTAAGAACCTGTCCGATCTGGTTGTGCTGGCCATTCTTGGGGCGCACGTCCTACTGCTTTGGCAACTCCCCGCAGGAGCCAGAGTTCCCGTCTTCGCCGCAGTCTATTTGTTCTGGCGTGCAGGTTATAACGTTGGGATAGGTTGGCTCCTTCACAACCAATCGCACCATAACACCTTGGTCCGGTGGGCGGAGAAGACGAAGGTCTTCGTCAACCCAGCGACCGGCAAGAATCCTTGCCCTCAGGTGTACGACCTCTTCAAGCGAGAGTTGGAGACCAAGATCAGGGCCGATTACTCCTTCGACAAAGCTCCCATTGAGTACAATACTTGGCTTGTCTTCAGACGCCTGGTGGACTTGATCTTGATGTGCGACTTTACATCTTACTGCCTCTTTGCGATAGCTTGTAGTCACCACCCCACCAGCGAGAGTATTCTCATGAGCACCCTCCGCTGGTCTGCAGGTATCATCTTGGTCCTGTTTAACCTCTGGGTCAAATTAGATGCCCATCGTGTGGTAAAAGACTATGCTTGGTACTGGGGTGATTTCTTCTACCTCCTTGAGGGAGAGTTGACCTTTGATGGCGTCTTCGAGATGGCCCCACACCCCATGTATTCCGTCGGCTACGCTGGCTTCTACGGTATTTCGTTGATGGCCGCAAGCTACAAAGTTCTGTTCATCTCTATTATCGCCCATGCAGCACAATTCGCCTTTCTGGTCCTGGTCGAGAACCCTCATATCGACAGGACGTACAACCCACCGCCGCCTCGCAAGCGCGCAATTGAACAGGACTCGGTCTCCGCAGTTGCGTCCCACCGATCAGACTCCCCCATTGCGCCAACCTCTGTCGATGAATCTGTGCCCCAAGCGCCATTGGACCCCAGCGCTCCACCGGAGTCAGTCCACAACCTACTCGGTCCCCACAATTTGGATCTGCACCGGAACACAGATGCCTCTGTGATGCTCGTACAGTTTCTCGTATTCGCTCTGGCTATATTGACGCCTTCAACACCAGGATATCAGTTCCTCTTCGTCGCAAACGCGGCTATATGGCGTATCTGGTTTTCTATCGGTATTGGGTGCTTGCTCAACCGTCAATCTAATAGTAAAGGGTGGACCCGGCATTTTGTCAAGTATGGCGAAAGCCCGCACGAGGCTTGGAGCCAGTGGAAGGGCACCTACCACCTGAGCATGATTATGTGCTACGCTAGCTTCATTGCTGCCGTATGGAAACTTTATACCTTCCCTGCTGATTGGGGATACGGTCTAGTTCTCCTGCGGCACGTCGTGGGCGCGGGTCTTGTCGCTTTGCAGGTCTGGACTAATGTCAGCATCTACGAGTCGCTCGGGGAATTTGGTTGGTTCTATGGAGACTTCTTCTTCAATGCATCCTCCAAGTTGACCTACGATGGAATCTATCGCTTCTTGAACAACCCTGAGCGTGTGCTGGGTCTCGCAGGCGTCTGGGGCGCGGTCTTGATCACTAACAGCGCCGCCATCACTTTCCTCGCTTTGTTGAGTCATATCCTGAGTCTGGCATTCATTCAATTTGTAGAACGCCCACACATGCAGAAGCTGTATGGCCAGAGCCTGCGTCGCGATGCTGGTCTGGTAAAGAGTTTAAAGCGGTCCTTGCCTCCTTCTCTCCAGCAGCTGCATGGAAGTGTCGACAAGATTTTTGATGAATCGTTTGAATTTGTCGAAGAACTTCTTGAGTCTGCTCGTCCCAAGCTCGCAGCCGGTGTTAACACTTTTGTCAAGGACACCACTGCTTTGTTCCAGAAGTACCCGGCCCGTGTGACCATCACGCGGATTGATGCTGACTTGGCCGGTTATGACCTACACGACTATTCACTGGAGATTGAAAGCACTAACACGTCATCTATCGATGAGCCCGACCAACCCAGCGGTCGTGAAGGAGCCAACGCCCGGATGCCTTTGGACCGTCGCGGCGACCTCAAGAACTTGGTGTTTGAATATGGTGCCCCGGTTAAGATCAGGTGGACTGCTCCTCTCAAACACAACAAAAAGGACTGGATTGGTCTCTACAGAGTCACTGACAACACGTCTCGCGAAGTCACTCGTGTCTCGTCTCAAGGTCGCTGGGTGGCTATTAACCAGGGCCACTACGACAACTCGACATGCGAGAAGGGAATTGTCACAAGTGACGAGGTCCAGCGTCACGAGAACGGTCGTGAGTATGCAACCGGTGAAGTTGTCTTCTCGGGAGACAAGCTCTTCTGGACACAGGGTGTCTTTGAGTTCCGGTATCACCACAACGGCAAGCACAATGTCATGGCCATCTCTCGCCCATTCGAGATCCGGATCCGCCGGTTCAACGAGGAGGACATGCTCTCGCAGAACCCGGCCCTGGCCGAGATATCGGTGGAATCTGCTCTATTGCCTATTGTCCGCAATTGTTTCGATCGGGATCCTGAGATTGCTCCTGAGGGTGTGGATGAGTCGTTTGGCGGTCTCGTTGAACGGGATGGTAAATTCGCCAAGCGGGTCGTTTTCGCCGTGCATCAAACGTGAGTTTTCGGCCTTTCTATGACAGTTCTAGCAAAGCTAACCAAGTTCACAGCTTCGGTATCGAGCTGGCCCCAGAAGTCGTCCAGGCCGATGGAAACGTCCGCAACCTAGCATGGCGTGTATGCAACGCAAAGCGAGTCTTGGTATGCAACTCCTTGTTTATGTATATTCGTGGTGAGGCTAACATCCATTCTTCAACAGGCCCCCTACAGCATGTCGAGGAACGGTGCCACAACCCCGACTGAGGAGAAAATATAAACACCGAACAACCTTTTACGATCCTTTTCTTATCCCCCGCACTCCCACCGCTTATGCTTATGAGATGAGAGCTACGACAGCAGCCTGATTGTTATACCATTTTTTATTTTCGATTGACCCCGGATTGCTCATGGTCTTTGCTTTATAACTGCTTTTAACTTATTTTTCCCTTCTATGTTCTGATATGGATATCTGTCTGCTGGTTCGGCCCCAAAGAAAAAGAAAAAGGTCTATTAGAGATAGAAAATGATACAAAGATTACGATGATGATTAGACGAGAGAAGACTACACGAGGGTGGAAATAGATCGATATCCAAGATGGTGGGAGGTTGGGCCTTTTGTTCTGCTATACATATACAAGAAGCAATTCGATCAAGATATTGAAATAAAGTCGGAAGAATTATTCATTAACATTTTTAACTAGGGCTAAGATGCCCAGATGCGACTTATAAAAGCGAGCAAATGGTATCCCTACTATAAAATAAAACGTCAGCACATGCTACCAAATGTAACAGGTTAAAGCGTGACACGGAGCACGAATGCCTCATTATCTCCCAAAAAGAAATAAACGAGGCAAATCAGCCAAGCCGGGTAATTCATCCCTTCCCCTGCCGACTCCACTTCCTCGACATGTCGCCCAAAACGGACAAGCACCCAAAGAAGCGTTATCGACACAAGTCAAGCGTAGCAAACCGCAACACAAAGCAGTCAAGACGAAACGTACCAACGACTGAGCCCAACCTCGAACACTCCACAACCAATCATCCCTTAAGCAATTAAAAGAAAGCCATAGGTATGGTATGAGGGAGGAAGAAGATGGATCGCTGGGCCAAATTTCATCTCATCTGGATTGCAGCGCGGTGCGTTGCTCGAGGGGCGGTTCTCCGAAGAGATCATTGAATGGATTGACTCGTTGTCATCATAAAAAGGGAACGCGATGGGTAGGGCACTGCTGTGCTTTGAGTGGCGCATGCTCTCTTACCTCTTGATTATTGGATAATTTGAGCTGATTGGTACCAAACACACTGAATACTGTCTCGCTGTTAGTTTCTTTTTCAAAACTCGAGATGGTAAATGACAATGAGAAGAGTCGAGATCAGAAGGTTTGGTAAGATTTTGTTATCTTCAATAAATTTACAGAAGCAGAACTGAAAAATTTTTTTCATCACAGGTGGCACGACTCGTAGGGGGGAACGAGGGGAAAAAAAGAGAGGGAAAAGAACATACCCATCCGCTTTCTATCGAAGCTAGTGACGATTAAAATGTCTACACTGTCTGATAGCACGTTAGCAGTGCACAAACAAGCAATTGAGTACGAAGAAGTGCAATAAAAGCTCGAAGAGTCTTCAGATGGTGATGCATGTTTTGTTCATGGCTCATCTTGCGTCGCCGGAACAGAGTTTGGATAGATTTCAATCATGCAGACAGGTGTGTTCGTGGGGAGCATAGGGAAAGACTCACATTACAATATTTTAGTACCGAATCAATTGAAAGATCATCAAAATAGCAAAATCCTGCATCATAAGAAGGAATGTTGACAGAAAGCAAGTCGAAGCTCTGCATTTAAAGGAGAGAAAAGTGGGAAAGAAAAATCAACAAGCGAAGCGAAGAAAAAGAGCGCTTCACCGCCTAGTGTCAACCAAACATTGCAAACAACCCTCCAAGATTTCCGTTTATGGACTTGACGACGACCCTTTTGCTCGTCATTCCTAAAGCCCTCCTGGTGGATTTAAGATATATTACTGCAATATGGACAGACGAAGAATCAATGGACCTCCCAGCGGCACGCGACCTGCTGTTTTTGCCTCTTCCATTAAAACCGCACCAGGCGCTGCGACAGAAAGACCAAAACGCCAAAGGCAGTCGAATGAGCTACGCAAGATATGTAAGGATATATATTCTTCCCATTGAAACAGAGTCACCGTACTAACGGGCTTTTCCAATCCAGTTCTGAAAACCGGTATTATTCCTACGGCCTCCGGCTCCAGTTATGTTGAATTTGAGCCATCAGCCTCTCTCGCCGCTGCGCACTCGTCTCCTCAATCCTTGATTCCTTCGTCGTCTTCCCTAAAACTGGCCTGCACAGTCCACGGTCCCAAACCTCTTCCACGATCTGCTACATTTTCGCCAAATATCGTTCTTACAACACATGTCAAGTACGCCCCATTTGCCGCCCGCAAGAGAAAGGGCCATATCCGCGACACGGGCGAACGTGATCTTGGCGTACACTTGGAAACTGCGCTACGCGGTGTGATTGTCGCCGAACGATGGCCAAAGAGTGGTTTGGATATCACGATCACGGTACTAGAAGCGGAGGACGATCGTTGGTGGGGTGATGCGGCAGATTCGCACGATGCGTCCTGGGGTATGATGAACGTTCTGGCTGGCTGTGTTACGGCTGCATCTGCTGCTATCGCGGACGCGCGTATTGATTGTCTTGACCTGGTAGCGGGTGGTGTGGCAGCTCTTGTTTCTGACGATTCGACGAAGGACGAGGAAGGGCCAAAGTTGATATTGGATGCGGACCCGGCAGAACACCAGTCGATCCAATCTGCTTGCGTGGTGGCGTACATGCCTGGGCGGGACGAGATTACGGAGCTTTGGCTTAAGGGTGATAGTTCAAAGGCGTCGTTAGGTGATGGTGACCAGCGTGTTGGGCACGAGGCTCTAATAGACGGCGCGGTGGATGCGGCTCGAGGAGCTCATACGGTTCTGACAGAAGCAGTCAAGGAGTCCGCAGAGCGGTTCATCCGTCAGGCTATGGGGTGAGGTTCTAATGTCAAATAATGAGAATATAATGTCATCAAATTCTGCCTTGTCTGGGTTAACCCTAAAAGGGAAAACAGTGAATGGCAGCACAGCAGCAGCCCTTTCACTGAATGAAAACACACATATACACAACATCAATATTTTCAAATTGCACATCAACGATCCCACGTTTTATATTCTTACACATAACATCCTTAACTTTCTTGATCCTGTTCCCTCCTTTTCTTCAAGATGTCCGACTACACCCAAGAGAGGCTCAGGTCCCTACTCTATAGGACTCAGAAGAAAAAGGGACCCCTCATGCCACCACCAGTTTATCCTGTCACTATCGATGACAACCTTGTCTTTCTTTGGAGAGCTATCCAGCACTCGAACTACACGAAGGTAGGTCTATCCTAGTTTCCGTCACTCAGGACGATAAGACGTGTCTCTGCTGCCGAATGACCATCAGAAGCATGATATACCAGTGCCTTATATTCTATACTAACTGTTTCGACTGCCTCAGATCGACTTCAATCTCCTCGGAAACGATTTCCAGTTAAATCGCGAAGAAGCCCTTGAATGCTTCAGAGAACTGAGACGAGCCATTGAAGACGCAGTCTACAACAATTACATGGAAAGGTCCAACGATCGACGCGAGAGTGCTGGTCCCACGAACATCCTTGGGCTTGCTGTTCGTCGTCGAAAGGAAACTGTTGAAGACGCTGAGTACGAAGATGATGAAGAACACGATGGTGAAAAATATGATGAGGAAGATGCTGATGATGAGGCTTCTCATGTTGCTTCGGCGAAGGGTGATTCCTTGGCTGTTGGATTATCTAGGCCCGGTGCTTCGAAATCTGGCGCTTCCAACGCCAATGCATCCAACGCTGGTCCTTCGCGTGTCAGTACTCCTGTTACTGGTAGTTCAAAGGCTGGCTCTTCTAGTGTTGGTACTTCCAAAGTTGGTATTACGGAGACTGGTTATCGGAATGCTGGCTCGTTGAAGCAAGTATCTTCAGCTTCAAGTCAGCCTGCTCCTGGGGCTGGTCGTCCCAACACTGAACCTTCTAATGCGGTCGCTTCGCAAGCCAGTACTCGCCCTCCCAGCGGCGGTTATCCGAGCACCAGTCGCCCCAGTGTCCAACCTTCTATTGTTGGTCCTTCCATCGCGAATATTAGTGCCTCGAGGGTTGCACCTTCCAACGTTTCTTTGAATGCTGGTCATCAGAGAACTGGCCACACCAATGCTACCAAGGCCGTCAATAATCCCACAATGAAGTCGGAGGCTGGACAGGTTCCAGAAAGCGTCAAGTTGGCACCCATAAGAGCTGGTCAGACCCTCAACCTGCCCCTTCCACGTCTCACCAACCCTGCTGGCCCCCCAAATGCCCAACCTCCAAACGTTGGCTCTTTAAACACCATCCCTCCCAGCACCATTCCAGCCTCTGGAGCAATCTCTGGCCCTCAAATAACTCGTCCTCCAACCGTTCCCGCCATGAATTATTTCCGTCCAAGCGCTGCCACATTTTCCGCTGCCACCAGCCTCACATCCGTGATGACACCTCAAACTCCCCAACTCCCCAACCAGATCCCGAGTCAGATCGAGGACGGACCTGTGATTCTCGACATAACCAGTCTCAGATGCTTCTTTGGCGTCGTAGACCAAGGCGCCGGCCCAACTTCGCTTAATGACAGACTTTTCTCCCGACCAGACTTCTTCTTTCCAATCAGAACTCCGACATTGCCTACGCCGTATGGCCCAGACGCCTCTGGAGCGAACGAGCCACAGACGCAGACACCCAGGCCCTCTTTGCCTTCTTTGTCGTCACTATACTCTGGGCTGTCTATGCTGGCTGAGCCCACCTCTAGCCCCGCTACGATGGACAAAGGGAAAAAGCGGAAGAGGGTGTCTGGATCCGGGGGTGAGATGGAGGAAGACGTGTCTGCTATGGTTTACGGGATCGACGGAATATTTCAAAGATGATGTATGAGTACGCATAATAAAATCGGACACTTTTTATCGTATTCTGCGGCATGACCATGTGCAGATCGAGCAATCCAATGCATATTTTTCGCGGCAAGGATGGGTGAGATCAATAAGGGGGATGTGCCAACCTATCCCGCCATGCTTTGTATCGCAAGAATCTTTTCTTAGCACGTTGCTCTACAAGTACTTGCTCCGTACGGAGTATTTATTGTCAATAACGGTTCCGAGCAGGGTATCCCTGTAAGATTACCTGTGCTCTTTGTTCGTGATCTGCCGTGCGTTAAATGTCAAAGACAAACTCTACAGGGATACAGATACGCGAGTCGCATCTGCATCGCCTATTCGTACCCTATACTCAGGCAGTTTGAACAGAGTTCAGAGTAGGCCGTTACGAACCATAGTTCGAGGATGTCACTGTCAACTGTGATAGTAGCGCCAGACACAAAGGCGCAAAGGCCAAGTCACATTTGCACTAACCAAATAGAGAAAGAGCATACGATATGGAACCCAAAATATCAATCAGTCTCCAAATCAATGGCATTTGGCACTGCTCCGGTCTTCCGCGGGCCTGTTTATCCTCCCTTTTTGGTCTTATAATAGTACGGACGGAGTGCGTACGTAGCTGACAGGGCACGTCCCGGGGTTTCGGATATCGTAAATAGATCAGAGCAAGCATTGCTTCGCTCTAGTACCAAATAGACCAAGTCCTAAAAGCTGGCCCGGTAATAAGGCGCGGCGATTAGGATCTGTTGGTCGAGATTCCGGATTCGCGGCGTCCACAAATAGAATTAAAGGGATTTGAGCCCAGTTTACTTGACTCCATGATGGGCAAATGGACGAATGGAACGTTTATTATGCATTTTTGTTTTTTGCGCATCCCATGGAAGTTATCGCAAAGAATAACATTTCGGGACAGCCGGTCACAGTAGTGAGGCGTACTGACTCGCATAACAACCCATCACTGTGAACGGACCAATGTCCTGTCACGGCTGTCAGCTGTGCCATAAACTCCAATCTTCAGACTTGACTATCCATCCTCAAATGGGGATATGGATAATACTATTCTGGTGTTCCGTACTTCTTTACTCCCGGTGATTCTCCGTGGATAGTCTGCCCCATCCGACTAGTATCCGGTTGTACTCCGTAGGATTGACGAAAATCTAACAGTTCGTCCCGTCTGTATGGAACAGACGGGCCAGAGAATTGATCAATAGTTCAACGCTGAGATGGGGTGAATTAGTCGTAAAGAGGAATGACTCGTGTGAGTGTTTCAGGGGAACAAAGCCGATGACATCGGCAGTAGCGTTTACGGTAATTTTACCGCGGGAGACGGCCCGGGACTCAGTCCGACCCGGATAAACGTTGGAGCGACGGGCAGTTAGGATGATCGCCGAGTTCTTGCTTTTCCTCGTTCTTCATGCTGCACAAGTACTTGTCTGCTAGAGTGCTGATAAACGAGAATACGGTGCTTGAAAGCTAGCTTGAAGCATTGCTGAAGATCAATTGCTGCAGTATCAAAAGAAAAGCAAGCAATCCCTCGTGACTGTTGAAGGGACTCCCGAAATTGCCCTGTTAACTGGCGGCCCCATATGTTGGCCTTCATTTATCGTCCCCAGGAAGAACCACCCACTAACGCCGTCAATAAATACTAGGTCTCATAGTGAAATCCATCCTCTTGGCTCTTCCTTCTTACAAAGGCTGAGGGGCCAACCGTTCGAAATGATCAAATAAGAAAAGACGCCGCTGGAGCAGTCACCAACGCTAATTTGGTAGCAAGCTCGGGGCGCACGTTCATCTCGCGGAATAGCCAACCAAATTTTTTGTTGTGGGACGATCGATGCCAATAGCACGTTCACTTCGTGGGCTCTTCATTTCGACGCAGTTCGTGGGCCCCAGACTGCAATTTCCCGCAACTTGATTTTTTCTTTTCTTTTCAGTTTTTGCTTCTTCTCCAATGGAATCCGAATGCCAGTATGCGGAGTGTCCCGAAAGGACTCACCCCTTTCTGTGGACTCGCCTCTCTTTATTTCTTTTCTTTTTCCCACCGCCACGAGCTGTCCAATGATCTATCACGGGATACGCAGTTTTGTCGTTTGAATTCTTCCTCCAGTGAGTGTCGCTGCCATTGCTGATTCCTGTCATATTGCGCGGTGGTTTTGGATGAATGAAAACCGCAGATCGAATCCAATAGCAGCGTGTCAAAGTGGAGTCCGGCTGTTACGACCGTGCATATGTAATCAATCCTTTGGGTACCGCCCAATACTCGACGGAGCAGTACGTTTGTACGGAGTATGGCAGTGAGGGCGTTAGGGCCAGGCTGCACGTTCCATCGAGGGTGTTCAAAATAATACTCGTCGGAGCACACATTGATTTCAGGCCTCGGAATTAGAAAAGACACGCATGCATAAGCTTTGTGAATTCGGGCATTTCCCGTCTAGAGTACCTCGTCAAGTGTGTTCCGCGGCCACTAGGGGCCCGTCTAGACTAACTTTTACGGTTGATGTGCCTGTACATCACTTTTTCCCCTCTCAGCGTCTGTCTATCGGTTCGGCCTTCAGGCTTTCTTTTTTTCCTCGCCCGTGATCCCATCACAATGGATCACGGAAGACGGACCAATTCCCAAGCCCCATTTGTGGTGCCCCCCCCCCCTGATCCAGATGCGACTGCTGGATCTACGAAGCCGGTCCAGGCAGATGGTTTTGAAAGTTAAACTCGTCGTTTCCCTCTTCTCTTTGTTAAAAAGTCTGATAGCGCTCGTCTCGACCCGGGCTTTGGAATTCACTATTTTCTTGCCTTTGATGTCATGAATAACACTCGAGATACAACGGTTAACACAAACTACATTTGACGGAATCATGACATTGCATTGCATTTAGAAAGACTGCGAATCGCCTGGCTTAAGCTTCTGAATTTTCGTCATATCTTAACTTAAAAAAGCCCACATCCGATATTCATATATTCCGCTTTCCCAACGGCTTTCCCCATTTCAACAACCCGCAATACTTTCGGATAACACTACTCTCTCGCACCTTCTGACCAACCATGGTTGTCTTTAGAAAGCTTTTTCTAGCGGAGAAATATCCGCTGCAGACTCCTGGTCAAGGAGCTGCAACGTGTGACGTTGGTCTTAGTACAACTGACAGTCACTACTCCGAGCTACACGACACACAGACTTGCCCTCTATCACCTCACAATAAGATTGTCAAATCCTCAGATTCGCAATTAGAAGTGGACCGCCACTTCGAGAGAATTGAAAAGCAGCTCCAGGAGTTGCAGGGCAATCTGCAAAAACGTCCTATGTCTCCAAAACGCCCTCTTTCTCCCAAATCCCAAGTGCCTTCTCGTGCCCCGAGTCAACGCACAACACAACAAAGTCCTCGACATGTCGACCTCTTAGAAGCAGTTGCTTCTTCACAGCGGCAGCAAGCACAGCAACCGGGCCAAACGTCACCGCTGTCCCCATATAACGAAGACGTCGCGGAACGGAACATGACGCGGTTTCTACAACAACAGAAACCTCCTCGCAAGCGAAGCATCTACTCCCGCTTTATTTCGGTTCTTTCTCAGGATGATGTGACAGACGGGAATGGTGAAAAGAACAAAGACGATTTCCGTCCTCGGTCTCGAGCCACAAGCATGCGATTTCGGAACGTTTCGGGTGGCTCTGCCAAACCCAACGCAAAGGGCCACAAGCGTGCCAGCAGTGGTCGTTCAGGTATCGGACTAAAGGAGAACAAGACCGCGAATCCGAGCGTACAGGAAGTTTCCCAGCCTGTCACATCCCCTAGAGAAACCCAGACACGTGACAGACCTCGTCTACGGACTCAAAGGTCAGCACCGAATTTGACAACTGAACAGCTTGGCTCGCCGCCCAAGGGACCTGCTCCTAGTCCTGCTGGACACCTGAGCGTTCCTCCAGCTCATAAGCAAGGTGATAGCTGGAGCAACACACCCATCCCAGACAGCCCAACACTGCCGACCCCAGCGAAAAGCGTGAAGAAACCGAGTCCGGACCGGGAGACACCATCCACGATGGACCGATGCCCATCAACGACATCCCGCAACTATTCTCTACCAGCTCGCCCTACGCCTTCGCGAAAGAACACTTTGAATCTCTCAATTGACACCAATTTGGCCACTCGAGGGAAACAGGGCAAAGCCTCGCACCGGGCCATCCAACCACCAACCCCCAGCAGCTGCGATATGAAATGCAACCCCAGCATTGCTGAGGTCATGAACAGCCCTTTGCCATCAGCTACACCTACCTCTTTGTCTCCTCTCTCTTCTGCGAACCCGAAGGTTGCGGAGATTATGGACATGTTCAGACAAGCATACACCTCCACCAAAGCTATCAGCCCTCACCCGACCTTTGAAACATTGCAGGATGCAATTGTTCGCGAGATCAACTTCCACGAAGCTTTTCAACGCGTTCCTGTTCCCGAACAGGGACCAGCTTTCACTCCCTCCCCAAGACGTGAATCGTTCGACCGAGCGCCTAAGCCTCCCAAGACTGCTGCTTCCGGAAAGGACAGCCAATTCTCTAAATTCAAACCGGCTTCCTTCATGAAGCACCGCAGAAGCTCTGCCGCGCGCACGAGTATTTCCACGAGCGTCCCTTCGAAGGTTATGGGTCGGGTTTCTACATCTGGTAGCCGACGCAGACACACCGACGCTCCACCACCATCTCCTTCCCTCCTCGATACCCCAGACCTACCCCAGGAACTCAGCAATGAAATGCCTCCGGTCTATACAGACATCCCTCTCCGATCTCAAACCACTTCCCCTGGCGTTTCTAACAAGAAGCGTTCAGTTTCCATATCCAAGGACCTGGCTCCCTCCCAATCAGTGAACACGCTCTCTTCATACGGATCGTCGTCCAACACAGCGCCTTCTGTTTACTGCCTCCGCGCACAAACATCCGCATCTTCCAACGAAGAACGAAACAGTAACTTTTCCGACGATGGCGACGGCGATGACGATGTCCTTCACCTTCCTAGTCCTGGTTTTGTGGAGCCCCATCAGAAGAAATATGGCGCGGCTTCGGGCAATGCGTACAGAATGATGAATTGGCAAACGTCGTCTACTCGGAATGTCATCTCTCCCTGCTCGTCTAACAGAGGATACTGGGCTCGTGAGATGCATTCCGTGGAGACTTATTGATTCATGGACTGGGTAGAACCGGTTCGACTTTATTTTGACATGTTTACACATGCAAACACACTCTCTATCTCTCCGTCTTTCTTTTTTCATTTTATGTTTTTGCATATGCTTACAAGCGCCCTTTGCTTCCCCTTTTGCATCTATACACGGACTTTATTCCTTTCCTTTTTGTTTCTGCATTACATTGCATACCATTCTACTTGATTTTTCATATCCCATCTCAAAACTATCATCAATCATTCACGAGACTTACTCTCCTTTTCCTTTCAAATTGTTACCATGCTGCCTTCAGCGTGTCATCATTTCTATTTTGTATATATACTTGCATATCTGGCTACTCATCCCAGTGTGATCTGCATCTACATCAAGACTACAAAAAGGATAAAAATTTACAACCATTATACTTAAGAAAGTTGGTCACAGTCTGCTTCTTGCATTGGTAAATCCATAAGGTATCAAACACATCTCACATCATCGTCAAACTCATCAGGAAAACAAAAATTTTTTTGACGCCTCCGGTTTTCTCATTCTCATCTAAGGACATATAATCCATGATAACCCTTGTCGTAGTATGAACAGAAGAGAATTCAACATGTATACGTGCGGCTTCGACGCGATGGATAGTTTAGTAGGAGCCTGTAGTGAGCGTTAGTCGTTATCCATTTCCCAACAGGAGAGGAATAAAATAATTGAAAAAAAAAAAAATAAATAAAAAAATAAATAAATAAAAATAAAAATAAAAAAGGAGGTGGGGGGGCACTTACGGCCGAACAGACACCACTTCTCTGCCGTACGGTTGCAGTGAGGGTTTGTGCACTTGGTGACACCAGCCTCGATACCCTCCGGCTGGTCGAAAGGAATGCACAGCGACTTAGCGCCCATGCTGGGAGCTTTGGCGTCCTGGGCAACACCAGAGTCCTCCTCGTGCTTGCGAGCACTCAAATCCTTGATTTGGTCCTCACACTCCTCAGTGAGACAGTGGGGGATGAGGCAGACGTTCTTGTCGTTGAGGGCAGGGACGAATTCATCCCAGTTGGTGATGCTCTTGCGGTGGGTGCGGTACTCATTGTCTGCGCGGTTGAAGAGGTCCTTTTGAATGGTCTCCAGCATGGCCGGGACGGCAGTGGAGAGTTCGGGGATGGGGATGGAGGACTTGCCGTCCTTGCCGGGGACGTCACGGCGGGCAGCGGTGACGAAGTGGCCCTTGGACTCGCCAGGACCGAACTCGATACGGAGAGGGACGCCGCGGAGTTCCCATTCGTTGAACTTCCAACCGGGGGAGTAACCTTCACGCATATCGCTGACGGCGCGAATACCAGCAGCAGTGAGAACAGCGACAAGGCCGTCGATTTCGGAATAGAGCTTCTGGCGCTCTTCCTCGGAAGTCTTAGCGGTGATACCGACAGGGACGACGACGGTCTGAGTCTCAGCAACACGAGGAGGAAGAACCAAGCCACGGTTGTCACTGTGAATCATGACCATGACACCCAGGGTACGGGTCGACAGACCCCACGAGTTCTGCCAGACGTGGAGAGGAGGCTTCTTCTCGTCACCCTTGACCGAAGGATCCTCAACGGTGATGTTGAACATCTTACTGAAGTTCTGGCCAAGACCGTGCGAAGTACCACCCTGAATACCACGACCAGTGGACGGAATATAACCCTCAACAGTCGTGGTGTAAGCACCACCAGCAAACTTCTCCTTCTCGGTCTTCTTACCCTTGACAACAGGAACAGCCAGGAGTTCCTCGTAGATACGAGCGTAAAGGTCAAGGATATACAGAACTTCGTCGTCGGCAGCTTCTTGAGTCAAGTGAGCAGTGTGGCCTTCCTGCCAAAGGAACTCTCTGGTTCTGAGGAAAGGCTGAGGGTGCTTGAACTCCCACCGGACGACCGAATTCCACTGGTTGAGCTTCAGAGGCAAGTCACGGTGGCTGCGAATCCACTTAGCGTAGTAGGGGTACATGACAGTTTCCGATGTGGGACGGATGGCAATCTTCCTATCGAGAGGAGTCGAGCCTCTTTAAAGATGTTATCAGTATAACCATCGAGTAGAAAGCATCAAGGAATCAAAACGCAGGAAGAAATTTCATACGCATGAGTGACCCAAGCGACTTCAGCAGCAAAACCCTCGATGTGGTCCTTCTCCTTTTCAAGCACATCCTCGGAGACGAACAGCGGGAACGAACAGTTCTTGACGCCAATCTTCTTGATGTGCACGTTGAACCAGTTTTGGATTTCCTCCCAGATGCAGTACGAAGCGGGCTAGCAGTATATCAGTACGATGCGGAGAAGGAATTCACAGAGTGCATCATATCATACCTTGAGAACGAAGCATCCCGAGACGTTGTAGTAGTCCAGCATGTCACCCTTGGTGAGAACCTGCTGATACCATCCGGGGAAGTCCTCCTCCTTGGTCACATCGATACCGATTAAAGCAGGGCCATCGCTCTTCTTGCCCTGAGCCTTGGACGTGGGCTTCTTAGCCTCCGATTTTCCAATACCTTTGTTCACATTCTTGTCGGCCTTGTCAGATGCCTGCTTAGCCAGCTTAGCAGCCTTCTTAGCGGCATTTTTGGAGACTTCACCCTGGGGAGCGGCGTTATCAGCGGTGCGGTCAGGGAGGGTAGGGTTGGTAGCGACCGGGTTATCGGCGGGAGTCTCGCTGGCCATTGTATCGAAGAGGTTCTCAAGAGCGAGAGAATGAGAGAGATGGACAAAAAGAGGGTCGCTGAAGGGTCACAAAGCGCAAAGGCAGAGCGTTGACTCTTCCCCTCGTCAAAAAGTGGGATGCATCTCGAAAAACTTCACCGCCCGGGGTCGGCAGAACTTTTAGCGCAACCCGCACGCCTCAACGAACCAGAGGCTACTGAGTGTCGAGCAATCCTAAAAAGTCCAGCAGTCGGAGCTTTTGATATCCTTTTGATTACGTTTTCTCCGTCTGTTTCGCAGTCATGGCAGGAATTTTTGAGGCACCGCGGAATGCGGACACACTTTGTGAGTTCTCACTTCGCCAGGTGTTGGCTCCGAATCTATCCAACTGACCAACTCGCACAGTCTTGGGTGGACAGAAAATCACCGGTGCGGATGTCCGCGAGCAAAACGGTATGTAATAATGATATTGCCCGAATCGCTTGATTGTTGAATTGACTCGTGATAGTGCTCGCAACCCAGGCCATTGCAAATGTCGTCAAGAGTTCTTTCGGTCCCTCGGGCTTGGACAAGATGATGGTGGATGATATAGGGGTAAGGACCTTCGAGCCACGGGCTCTATATCGGGCATTTTGGATTTTTCCTGACATCTAGAAACCTTCTAGGATGTTACCGTGACCAACGACGGAGCGACTATCCTCAGTCTTCTCGACATTGAACATCCAGCTGGCAAGATCCTCGTGGATCTGGCCCAGCAGCAGGATAAGGAGGTGGGTTTCAATATATGGTTTTCTTGGATACATAAGTCTAATTGGATGGCTAGGTTGGAGATGGAACCACGTCTGTTGTTCTGATTGCCGCCGAACTTCTACGACGCGCGAACGAGCTGATGAAGAACCGGATACACCCTACGACCATCATCAACGGCTACCGGTTAGCCCTCAGAGAAGCAGTCAAGTATATGAATGAGAACATCACCGCAAAGGTCGAGGCCCTCGGAAGAGACAGCTTAATTAACATTGCCAAGACGTCGATGTCCAGCAAGATCATTGGGGCCGATTCTAGCTTCTTCGCAGACATGGTGGTGGATGCTATGCTTCTGGTGAAGTCAACGAACCAGAAGAACGAAATTAAATACCCAGTTAAGGCAGTCAACCTCCTCAAGGCACACGGAAAGAGTGGGACTGAATCGGTCCTCGTCAACGGCTACGCCCTCAACTGTACTGTTGCTTCCCAAGCCATGACAACCCGGGTTACCGATGCGAAGATTGCCTGTTTGGATATGAACCTGCAGAAAGAGCGGATGAAGCTTGGTGTTCAGATTACCGTGGATGACCCCGATCAATTGGAGAAGATTCGTGAGAGAGAATCTGGTATCGTCTTGGAGCGGGTTGACATGATTCTTAAGTCGGGAGCCAATGTTGTCATGACCACCAAGGGTATAGATGACATGGTTCTCAAGCTCTTTGTTGAGCGGGGTGCCATGGCTGTGCGGAGATGCAAGAAGGAGGACCTTAGACGGATAGCCAAGGCTACCGGTGCCACTCTTGTGAGCACCCTGTCCGATCTCAACGGAGATGAGAAGTTCGAGGCATCCAACTTGGGACATGCAGAGGAAGTCGTCCAGGAGCGGGTATCGGACGATGAGTGTATCCTTGTGAAGGGAACTAAGGTTCACACAGCAGCTTCCATTATCCTCCGTGGACCTAACGACTTCAGCTTGGACGAGATGGAGCGTTCGGTTCACGACTCTCTGTGCGCCGTCAAGCGTACTCTTGAGAGTGGTAGCATCGTCCCTGGCGGTGGTGCCGTTGAGACAGCACTTCACATCTACCTTGAAGAATTTGCCGTCACAGTGGTAAGTATAACAATTGCCTTCTTCCTTATATGTACGTTGCTAACAGGGAATTTCACAGGGCTCCCGCGAGCAACTCGCCATCGGTGAATTCGCCCAATCCCTCCTCGTCGTTCCCAAGACCCTGGCTGTCAACGCAGCCAAGGACTCCTCCGAACTCGTCGCCCAGCTCCGTGTCCGCCATGCCCTCTCGCAGCGTGTACAGGAAGGCGACGCCAATGAGGAAGAGAAGGCCATCGCCAAGAAGAAGACCTACAAGAACTACGGTCTCGACTTGATGAAGGGACGGGTCCACGACAGCCTCAAGGCTGGTGTGCTCGAGCCTAGCATGGGCAAGATCAAGCAGCTCAAGAGTGCTGTCGAGGCTTGCATTTCTATCATGCGTATTGATACGATTATTAAGCTGGACCCAGAGCCGCAGCAGGATGACGGACATGGACACCACTAAGGAGAGGGGGATGATGTGTGTATGTGCATTTTTCTGGTTGATGATTACTTCGTTTTAATCATGCTGTGGGTTAGGGGAGGCGACCATAGAAGAGATGGAAGGGTTAATAAGAAAAGAAATTTTATTCACGATTATAAACTTGAATTTGATATACAAGGCCTGTACGCACTTCGGAGCTGGCAGTAATCCAACCCTACAATAGTGAACACTATAAACCATGCCTCTCAAAATCAAGCTTATACAGTTTTCGACTGGCAGTTGCTTCCAATGTTCATGATATTGAAACCAAACTAAGTAAATATCTGTATGTGTATTTCCATCTTATGCGTAAGTACCTTCAAATGCAATGTAATCCGCTTGAGAAACCCGACGAAACAAACATAAAAGACCACAATAACTCCCATGAATAACGCCCTGCTAAATAATAATTAAATACAATCCATGCTCTAGCGCCCCAAATGCTAACAAGTAT